TGTGAGCAGCAGTGTGAGCAGTGCTGCTCACACTGCTGCTCACACTGCTGCTCACACTGCTGCTCACACTGCTCACACTGCTGCTCACACTGCTGCTCACACTGCTGCTCACACTGCTCACACTGCTCACACTGCTCACACTGCTGCTCACACTGCTCACACTGCTGCTCACACTGCTCACACTGCTCACACTGCTGCTCACACTGCTGCTCACACTGCTCACACTGCTCACACTGCTCACACTGCTGCTCACACTGCTGCTCACACTGCTGCTCACACTGCTGCTCACACTGCTGCTCACACTGCTCACACTGCTCACACTGCTGCTCACACTGCTCACACTGCTCACACTGCTCACACTGCTCACACTGCTCACACTGCTGCTCACACTGCTGCTCACACTGCTCACACTGCTGCTCACACTGCTCACACTGCTCACACTGCTGCTCACACTGCTCACACTGCTGCTCACACTGCTCACACTGCTCACACTGCTCACACTGCTGCTCACACTGCTCACACTGCTGCTCACACTGCTGCTCACACTGCTGCTCACACTGCTGCTCACACTGCTGCTCACACTGCTGCTCACACTGCTGCTCACACTGCTCACACTGCTCACACTGCTCACACTGCTCACACTGCTGCTCACACTGCTGGCCCGTGCTCCACCAGTGCAGCCCCCCAGACCCCAGCAGAGCCCCCAGCACGGACCCTGCACTACCCCAGGACAGTTCCCAGAACAGGAACGTAGAACCTGGCCCTGTGCTGCCTCAGCCCAACTCTATCCCCCAGGTTGCTCCCTGTGCTGGGCCACCTCTCTCTGCCATGTCCCACGGGCAGCTTACAGCGCCTGAAGTTTCTTTCCAGGTTTCCTTCCAGGTTTCCCACCTGGACCGTGCCCCAGATGAGGGGATGGTGGCAGCAGGATGATTGATGGCTGCCATGCAGCAGCTCTGCACTGGCCCCACTGGCCCTGGCACATGGGGACACAGCCCAGGCAGGGTCTGCAAGTGCAAGAGCTGCTCAGAGTTGGTTGGGGAGTCCCCAAATCCCCCTGCTCCCCCTCACTGCCCCGGGCACCGCTGGCCCCTGCAGGACCCCGTGACTCGGCCGTGGGAGGGTGGCTGGGTCACAGGTGTGACGTGGCACTGCTGTCCCTTCCTGTCCCAGCCTGCTCCCAGGGAATGTCCCTGCTGATTCATGCCCTGGCTCCTAATTGCTATTTACACAGTGGCACCGAGTTCGCTGAACTGGGGGAGGAAGGTGGTGGCACTGGTCCCACTGGGGCACGGGCAGGGCCAGGAGGGTGCAGAGCCTCAAGGCTGCAGGGAAAGGACTGGAAGCAGCTCCCAGGATGGGCTGGAGGAGAAATGCAGCTGAGGAGGCACTCAGGGAAAGGGATAACTCAGCAGGCTCAAAATGATGAACTGGCAGCAGAGACAGAGGCACTGAGGCATCTCCTGTGCCTGTCCCTGCTGGCCTTGGCCACTGGAGACAGGGGGAACAGGTCTGTCCAGGCAGCCTCCTCCTGCAGCAAGCACTGCTGAGTAATGCCGGGGTGGAGAGACTCCCATGCAACACTTCCCTTCCTCTGGCCCTGCCAACACCAGCAGCCTCAGCTCCAGCAGAGCCCTAGGGTGCCACCCACCCCACACAGGGACCCCACGCACCCCCAAGAGACCTCTGGCCCCTGCTCTGGTGGGCTGTGGGCACAGGGAGCCAAACCCCCCAGGAGATGGGGTCCCCCTGGTGCTGTCAGGGAGGGGCTGGTTGGGTAAATCCACCCCCATCCTGGCTGGGGTAATCCCAGCCCAAGAAAGATGCCAGAGGCAGATCCCTTTGCTGGCTCCTTTATTCAGGCAGGCTGTGGGCAGGGCGAGGCAGGGAGCCAGGATCACGACCAGGTTTCAGACTGGAAGCGCTGGGACCGTTCCAGGGCTGTTAAATGCTCCTGTGCTTCCGAGGGGGACAGGCCACCCTCCAGCTGCAGCACCGACTGCAGGGCCTCAGCCACCGCCGCTGGCATCTCCTTGGCGTTCCTGGGGAGAGAGCAGGACACGATGGAGGCAGAGCAGCAGCCCCAGCGCTCCGGGATCAGCAATCACCAGTTCCCATGGCCAGGCCCACCACAGGGCAGTGGGAACCTGCCCCATCCTGCCAGAGGCTGCCTGGCACAGGGTAATGACAGGCCTGAGAGGCAGCTCCTACCCCTCCCTTGAGAGCAGGGCCGTTAACCACAGGGCTCCCCAGCACAGGCAGAAACACAGCCACGGGCCCCAGAGCCCATCACAGCATCACAGGTCAGGAGCCCAAACGCTGCCCCACGCAGCTCCATTTGCCAGCATCCTCATTAGAGAGCCACGGGCAACATGCACGGCTTGGAATTGATCAGCAGGAGGGCAGGAGCCTGTCCTTTCATCTCTGGAACCACTCAATGTCAAACATGTCTGATCCTCAGCTGGGCAGGAGCAGCCACTCCCGTCCTGCTGCTGCCTGCTCTCAAGAAATCCAGAATCATTGGTTTGATGGTGACATTTGGAACCAAAGCCGGTTCAAACCTCAAAATCAGAGAAATGCTGGAGAAAACATCGAGCCCCAGTGTAGAAAATACCCAAATAGAACTCAGCGCTTTCAAGCACAATTATTTCTTAGGGGAAATCAGAAATTCAGATTCTTTTTTCCTGGAGAGAGTTTCATCTGATGAACTGCCTGTGCGACAAAAAAAAAAATCTAATAAAAAATTTCCCAGCCTGCTCCAATTGGCAGGAGCATCTGGCAACGTCCTTGCTGTTTCCCAAGAACAAGGCAGAATTCTGACTTGTGTTTGAAGCTGATTAACATCCCAAAATACCCAGAAAGGAGGTCTTCTTTTTTTGGAAGACTCGAATTGTTTCTGAGTCAGGCACTGATATGCAAGTACAAGATAAGGAGCTGGGCTTTGTGATGGAAAACATGTCAAATAGCTATTTTTTTTCAAAAAAAGAGACATTTTCAACCTTTTTGCCCCTGAGTGACACAAGCTAGGAACAATCGTAGAGCAGATGCAGCCCTGGCTCCCCAGAGCCCGCCTGGAAGGGAAGGGAAGGCAGACACAAGTGTCCCATGGCCCAGGGCTGCTGCTCAGGGTCACACAGCTCAGAACTCACTTCCCCCAACTTTCTCCCAGTCTGGCTGAAACTGTGAATTTGGGGGGAAAATAGGATCACCCACCTGCACTTCCCTGCCTGGCAGCCCAGTGACAGATCAGCCTGTGGGGCAGGGAGAGGCATGGTGATCCTGGGAGCCTTTCTGCAGGGTTTGGGATGGCCAGGAAAGGAGGAACAATGTCCTCTGCAATCAGCACAGTGTCACCTGTACAGGCAGGACGAGGCTCTCGGATCCCACCTGCCTGATGGGGGCTCAGGGACACCCCACACCAGGGACAAAGCCCCCAGCAAGAGGAGTCTCAGAGCAACCCTGATGTCCAAAATACCATCCTCACGGCCACACAAAATCTGCCATGGGGACAGCTGTGCAAGCCCTGCTCTGTCCAAGACACTGCTCCTCTTTGGGGATATCCATCAGCACCAAAAAGCAGGAAAGAGAATGGAAGGAGAGAACAAAGCCAAGAGCTCAACAGCCTCAGCACTTGGGCTGTGCATGGAGGCACAAGTGCTCCAAAGCCCAGACCCAAGGGCAGGAATGCCCAGTTTGGGTGAGGCTCCAGGAAATCCCGTGCTGCAGCACTGCAGGATGGAGTGGGGTGGCCTCCACTGCCCGGGAAGTAAACACCCATCTCCTTCTCCCAGGAATGCAGCCAGGCCAGCCTCGCCCTGCCCGTGCCAGGGGAGTTCCTGCTCTCCTGAAGGACAGGTGGGAAGGAACCGCTGCAATCGCTGCTCGTGTCCACAGCCGGGCCCAGGCCCGCACTCCCCGGGGCACAGGGGGCACACAAACACCGTGGGCAGGCTCTGCCCAGCTCCAGGAGCCCAGAGCACTTCCCAAGCCTCACCCTGGGCAGTGGGGAGCAGCCTCTCGCTGCACTGCAGGCAGGCTGAGGGCTCTGCCCAGGAGATGGCACAGAGCTCACAGCACAGCTGCCCCCAAAGGCCAGACCTCACCCTGTGGCCAGCAGCTCCAGACGTGCAGCCAGCCTCAGCCAAGCACCTGGAGAGGGCCTCTGCTGTCCAAGGAGACTGGCTGTGGTGCAACAGGGCTCGTCCCTGCCCTGGGAGGCAGCCTGGGGAGCAAAGAGCCAGGCAGAATGTGCCAAGGCTCCCCAAGCTGCTCCTGAGCCCCAGCAGCACGGGGGCCAGGCCTCTCATGTGTGTGCACGTGCTGTGGGGCAGAGGCTGGGCAGGTGGCACTGGCTGGAGAAGCTTTGCCAGCTGTGCCCCTCCTAATGGCAACATGGGCTAGGTGACAAATGTCCCTCTTAGCCCAGGGCTCCTGGAGCAGGACATACAGAGAGGAGCAATGAGCTGCCCTGCTCCCCCGAGCCCTGCAGAGACCTGTCACTCACCCAGCCAGGTAGACATGAGCATTCCCACTGCTCAGCAGCTCCCACAGCAGCCTCCCATTCTCCCGGATGCGGTGCTGGACATAAACCTTCTCCTCCTGCAGGGAAACAAGGCACTGAGCCCAGCAGCTCTGGAGCAGCCCCAGCTCCTGCTCTCAGGACTGTTTGCAGGGGCTGTTTGCAGGAGCTCAGGGCAGCACAGCCCCCTGGGACTGGAGGCACTGGGAGAAGCAGCTGGATCAGTGAGCAGTGTGGAGAAGAGGAACCCCACAAGCGATGTCTGCACTGGGATGGGCTGGTGGGAGATGGGTGCAGCAGCAGGAGCTTCACTGGGGAACACTGGGCCCCAAGCAGCCTCCTAAATCCACTGGTGTCCACTGGTCAGGGTGTTGACCTGGGCAGGCCCTGTGAGGGTTTCCCCCCTGCCCTCTCCTCTCTTCTCCCAGCACGGGCAGAGAAGGCTCTGTGGCCCCTCTGTGCCAAGTTTGCTACACGACACAGACCCTTCCCTGTACCCTTGACTGCTGGAGACCTGAAACAGCTTGGAAGGGCAGAAAGCTTGGAGGGACAGCCTCAGTCCCAGTCCCTGCCCCTCCACTATGCTTAGGGACTGGACGAGGACTGGCTTTGGGCACAGTACAGCCCAGTCAAGGAGAGTTCCCAAAGGGTTAATCCACAAGACTTCAAGCATCCAAGTAACTGCCTACAGCCCTGGCTTCTGCCCAAGAGAACACCATTGCCAACGTGCCTGAACTCACTGCTGGCCCAGAGGGCTCCCGTGACAAAGGTGACACTGTGATGAAGGCCAGGCCCCGTGCTGGGCGTCCCCCACGCCCGATTCTGCTGAGCCATGGGCACAGCCTCCTCCCCACGCCCCCCTCCCCAAAGGCAGGACAGCTCTCGCTGTGGCTCAGCTCCTGCAGGCTGGAGATGTGTGTGGGAGCAGCCCTGAGCAGCTCCAGCCCACAGGAGCTGGTCACTGTGAGTCCCACAGCTCCACTGGCTGATGGCCCTGGAGTGCCAGCTCAGCCTGGGCACGGCTCCCACTGGGCAGTGCCCTCACCAGCACAGCCAGCCTCAGCTTCGTTAACCATAACGAGCTTGGTGCTGCCAGAGGCCCTGCCAGCCAGGCTGGGCTCCGAGGGCATCATCTAAGGGCCTAGAAACCAGAGCACCCCAGTGACAAACGGGGGCCACGATGTCTCAGGGCACCCTGGTTTGGCTGAGACCAGCCTGCACTGAGGGCAGATGTGCTGGGACAGGGGACACTGCAAAGGGACTTCAGAGAGAAGAGCAAAACCTTGCTCTATGGAGCATCCCAGCCCTCACCTGGGTCTGACAACAAGGATGAGTTAAAGGCTCTGGTATCTCCTGAAGCCAAAGGCACAACAGCCCAATGTGGCTCGTCCCACCTGGCCGTGCTCCCAGTCAGCCTTGGGGGCAGAGGACTCAGGTGAAAAACTGCTCTGGCCTGTGGAGCAGGAGAGAGGGGACACTCCAGTGGAAGCCTTGTCCCTCCACAGTCAGCAAGAGCAGAAGGTGGCTCTGGCTGCTCTCCAGACTCAGAGAGCAGCAGGTGCCCCTTCACTGGTCGTTCAACAACGCTCTGCAGTGCTGCTCCTGTTCATCACAGGCTTGGAAAGCCTTCACAGAAACACCCAGCTCCTGTCTCACAAGTGAGCAGATAAAAGATGCTGAATTCATGTCAACACATCACACAGCCAGGAGAAAGGGCTGGGGCTGGTGCAGCTGAGCTACTGAGAGATCCCCGTTCCCTTTTTATCACATCTGTGTTCCAGAGCCAGGGTGAGCTTTCAGTGCCATCAAGGGACAGAGGAAGGCAGTGAAACATCCCCAGCTCAGAGAGCCTCTCTGACAGCACTGCAGCCCCAAGGGGGATCAGGGCTGCCCACCAGAGACACTGCCTGGGGAAGCAGGAAGCAAAGTGAGGGGCTGAGTTCTGGGTGTGCTCACACCCGTGGGGAGCTCTCCTCCAGGGACTCACAGAGAGCTGGCACAGAGGCCAAGCTCCTCAGCTCCAGCCAGGGCCCAGAGGGACACTGTGAGGGGGCTGGTACTTAACCAAGAAGTTATTGCCTGGTGACCCTCCGAGAGGCTTGGGAGCCTTTTATCACTCACGTGGTCCAGCCAAACAAAGCTGGTTAAAGCCTTATCTGCTCTGCTGCTCTCCAGCCTTGTCCCAGCAACCTTCCCAGCTGAACTTAGCCACACACTTCCCTGCAGGGCAGGAGAGGAACTCAGCCAGCACTGAGGTGTGTGGGGGAGTGAGGTGCCCACTCTGCCACCTCACCAGACCCCTCGCAGGCCACGCCAACAGGCACAGGGGACAGACACACTGCCAGAGTCCCATCAGCGCTGCTTGAGATGCTCTTGTACCCACCTTCCTCCTCTGGGCACTAACCTGGTCCCTGGAGAAGGCTGTGAAGAGTGTCAGGAAGCCCTTTGTCACCAGCTCTTCCCACTCTGTCTGGCAGTAGAAGTCCTTGGATTTGTGTCGGCAGCCGAAGAAGAGGCAGTTCCCTGCAGGAGCAGAGCACCAGGGCTGTGCTGGGAGCAGCCAGTGCTGAGCACTGCTGGTGCCACCTGGCTGACAGCCCTGGCCTGCAGAGCCACCAGCCATGTGAGCATGAAGTGACCTGTGGCAACCAGAGGCCGCTGTCTGCTGGAAAAGGAGGGGGGCAGAAAGTGTCCCCCAGGGCTGCCTGTTCCCTGAGCCAACACAATGAGGGTAGGACAAGGTGCAGCACAGCTGAGCTCAGTAACCTGTGTTCACTCCCAGAGAGCCAAGGAAGAGCCTCTGCAGAGCCTGACCCAGCCCAGGGGGCTGCCCCGCAGCACAGCCTGTGAATAACCACACAGGCTGCACACAGCAGGCTCTGCGCCTCACCTGCCCCGGGGCTCAGCCTGCTTCTGCTCAAAGCAGAAAAGCCTGACCTGGTGGAACCCTCACACCCCCAGTCCATCTTCCATCTGCTGACACAGAGCTGTGTGTGCAAGGCCCATCCCTCACCTGTGCGTCCCAGGGCCACCCGCTCCTGTATCGCAGCTCGGAAAGGTGCCACCCCTGTGCCAGGGCCAATCATGATCACAGGGATGGCAGGGTCATCTGGGAACTTCATTCCTCCTTTCTTCACCCAAAGGGGCACGTGGACATCACCTGCCAAACAGAGAGCCCCGAGCATCACCCCAGCAGCAGAGCCCTGTGCCTGCCTGCAGAGGCACCCAGCTCCTCCAGGGTGCTGTGTGACCTCTGAACGAAGGGATCAGCCTTCCCACAGCTGTGCCCACTCAGAGCTACCAGCTCCAGGACACCAGGAGCAGCCCACAGCAGGGCCAGGCAGCTGGGAGAAAGCCAGGAGTTCAGGGTAAGCTGGAGAGGCACATGGTGCTCTGATGAGGATGGGAGCAGTGAGGAAGGACAGCAGGACCATCCTGCCAGGCCAGTGTGCTCCCCATGGAGCTGGAGCTCCGGCCAGGCAGCTCCTGCACATCACCCACACAGCCCCATCACGGGCCCGAGGGATGAGCACTGGCTGCTGTGGGAAGCACTCAGGATTCCCCAGAGTCTCCAGAGTCCAAGCACTTACCCTTGTCTGGGCTGAGAGAAGCCAGCCAGGTGGAGCAGAGCCCACGGCGGGGTTTGCTGAGCCGTGTCTTGTACCGCACCACGGCCACCAGGATCTGCATCCGCTCGGGATGGGCCTGTGCCACACAGAGCCATGAGCACACCCCCAGCACAGCTCCTCCAGGGCCAAACTGTGCCCTGCAACACCTGTCCTAGCCTGGCACAGCCACTTACCCAGCACAGCTCCTCATGCACAGCCCAGCACCTCCTCCAGGGCCAAACTGTGCCCCGTAACACCCTCCTAGCCTGGCACAGCCACTTACAATGGAGCACACCCTTGCTCAAAACCTTCCCAAAGGGGAAGGGGGTTTTCCTGGAGAAGCACTGCTACAGGAATGCTCTGCACAGCTGGAATCAGTGATGGTGGCTGTCCAACCCCAGAGCCCTCGTGGAGGACAAATGCAGGCACGCACGGGCTGAGCCTGCAGGCAGCCGAGCCGGGCCCAGTGCCACCTCCCGGCAGGAGAAGCGAGCAGCTCCCCCTTGCCCAGCTCCTGGGACACTGCTGGCACATCCCACTGCTCCCAGGGACAGCGACACCAGACCTCTGAGCTGGACTGGAACAGTCCTGGCACTTGCAGGGCTGCAGGACAGCAATCTGAAGGCTGGCCTAGCCCTGAAGCTTGCATCCAGCACACCAGGCTGCTGCAGGCTCAGCACAGAGCAGGGATTTGGGTGGGCTGTGGAGGCTCCATCTACACCAACAGTCAGCCCAGGCCCTGCCAGACCCTCTGCTCAGAGACTGAAATGAGGCCAGAAGGGCTGAGCTCTTACCAGCAGGGAGGAGGCGATGGAGAAGGCGCGGGGTCTGATGCGAGGGATGAGGTCCAGCAGGTAATCAGCTGGGATGGCACACGTGGTGTGAGGGAAATCCCACAAGGCCTGCAAAGCCAAGAGGGTGAGGCCTGGTGACCCCTGAAGGCAGCCTGCCTGCCCTCAGGGTGCCAGGGGCTCTCCCCCACAGCTGTGCCACACACCCCCAGCTAAAGGCACCACACGGGCACCTCTGAGCACCAACCACCCTGTCCCATTGCCCTGTGCCCCCCAGAGCCACACAGCGCCCACACAAGAGCCCACCAGGATCTAGAGCTGGTCTGAACTGCCAGTGGAAATCCATGGACACTTCAGAAAGTGGAAACTTCTCAACCAAGAAATGATGGCTGATCGTGTCCTGGGTGCTGTCAGCCCCAGCACAGCCCTCAGGGGCAGGTCTGCCCTGCTCCAGCCTCACCTCCAGCGTGGTCCTGCGGGGCCGGTTGCAGTAGCTGTACAGCTCCTCCTGGCCCTGTGCCGAGCTGAACTCCTGCAGCTTCTCCCTCTCCAGCTCATTGGGGGAGAAGTAGGCCAGGAGCTCGAAGAAGGAGCGCCGTGGCACACAGGAGATGTCCAGGTAGTGTGTGACCAGGTACTGGATGGTGCAGGGCTGTGGCAGGAGGGGAGGGAGGGACGTGCCTGCAGAGCAAGGCAGTGGGGACAGCTCAGGACCAGCACCTGCTGTCCCCAGAGCAGGGCAACCCACGTGCTACTGGAGCAAATTCCACCCATCCCTGCTCCCACCATGTCCACTCCCTCCTGCTCTCCCCAGTTTGCTTTTCAAGCCCACGGGTTTGCAACAGAGACAGTCGGTGGTGCTCAGCCATCCCCTGCTTTTGGCAGGTGCTTTGGGATAATGCCTTATCCACATGGCTCCCGCCCTGCACACATTGTGCTTGCACACAATGCAGCGGAAATAACCAGCAGTGACATGTGTCCATGTCTCCCACGTCTCTCCCAGGGGTGTGAGGAGCAGCCTGAATGTCTCTTGGGTTTGTCTGCCAGGCAAAAATTCCAGCACGGACAGACACAGGGAAGTTGGAGGCGGAATGGGCGCTCAGGGGCCAGGAGAAAAGCTCTCCCTGTTCCATGCAGGCACCAAGAGCTCTGGGGGACCTCCAAGGGCTTCCTCTGGTTGTTCGTGCTGGTTTGTGGCTGCAGGAGCCCCTCAGGAGGTCCCTGGGGCACAGGAAGCAGAGGATTCCCAGTTTGGGTCTGGGGCTGAGGAGGCTGCAGGGTCCTCCCCACTCTGTGCAGGGGCTGCCAAGGCACAAGGCCCAGGTGGAGCCTGGCACTGCTGGATTCCTCCAGTCCCAGCAGCCCTGCACAGGATCCACCCCCAGCACTGCAGGGAAGGACAGGCAGGTGTCCTGCAGCCATCCAACACTCCCAGCAGAGCTCCAGGCTGGGCCAGAGCCCAGGGGATGCCCTATCTCACAGGAAGGGGAAGGAGCAGCAGGCAGGACCTACCGGGCTCCGTGGGCTCCAGCACAAAGCGTCTGTGGGGCTCCAGGCGCAGGAGCTGGCAGAACTGCTGCACATCTTCGGGGCAGTTCTGGGGCTGGATCATCACCACGTCACCTGCACTGAACCTGGGGATGCAGGGGGAGCTGCCAAGCACAGCCACGGGGCAGAGCCACAGGCACAGCATGGCCACCCTGACCAGCACCCACAGCAGGGGAGGCAAATGCCCAGCGCCACCAAAGGGAGCTGGGAGCCACACAGGCAGGGACCCCCACTCTGAGGATGGGGGCTTGCAGCAGGGACCGTGCCACACGACTGCAGCCCCAGGTAGCAGTGAGGAAAGGCAGCAGCAGAGGAGGGCAGGCTCCAGGACACCTGGTCCCACAGGACAGAGCTCGGGGGAGTCAGGAAAACGCTCACGTGATCCCTGAGCCCGCGATGTCGAACTCGATGAGCCGGACGTCCTGGAAATGGGACTGTGCCGTGACCCTGCGGTTGGCCAGCACGCGGGCAGCGAAGGGATGGAGCTCACACGGGGCAGCCCGGGGCGCTGCCGGCTGCAGCCGCTCGCTGCCGGGCCACGGGGACTCCTCGGGCACGTAGTGCAGGGTGTATCTGGGGGGCAGGCTGTGGAGGGGAGCAGTGCACCGGGGTCACCTGGAGGGTGTCACCAGCACTACCCCTGTCCCCTGGAGCTGGCCGGTGTAAGGGAATGCAATGGAGACTGCCGGGAGCACATCCCAAAGGCTCCAGAGCAGGCGAGGCTGGACACACACGCTCTACCAGGGCCAGAGCCACATCAGGACAGACAGATGGGCAGGAGCCAGCTGGGGCAGCTGTCCCACCCCGCAGGGGACAAGGGGACACCCATCCAGAGAGAGATAGGCCACCTGTGGCCAAAGCACAAGGGACACAGGGGACACCAAAAGCTGTGTGGGGAGTGTTCCTGCCCTGAGCAGAGCATGTCTGCACTCTGGAGAACAGCCAAGGAAGCGGAGCCTTTCACCCCAGCCAGCCCCAGCAGTCCCTGCTCAGCCTCTGCACTCACCGCACGTCGGGACTGATGATCTCAAGGCCAGGAGGGAGAGGATACAAGGCAAGGACCTTGTCCCATAAGGCCACGAGCCAGGGATCAACCACTGCATCTGGCCTGCAGGTGGGAAATTCAGGCTGCAGCAACATCATCCCTTCAGGATCAAGCCCTGCTACCCCTGCACATGCCCAACAGCCATCCCACAGTTCCCCCAGGCCATTCCCTTCCAACTTCAGGTCTGGGAAGAAACACATCCCAGCCACTTTAAGCTCTCACTCGCTCTCCAGGACCCAACCTCTGATACCTGAACAGGATCCCAGTCCCTGAGCAGCACCTGTGGGGTCACTGTGTACCTGAGCCATCCACAGCCCTTGCCCCGTGCCAGGTGAGCACAGCTGAGGCTGCTGCAATGCTTGCAGATACAGGGCTGTGTGGCACAGGCATGCCCTGCTCTGAACAGGGCTGGGGCTGAGCAGGGAGCCCCAGGGCCATGGCCACGTTCTGGGGGTCATGAGAAGCAGGTGGCCCAGGTCCTGGCACAGGAGGGTTATGAGCAGAGATCAGCACGTTCCCAGAGAGCTGCAGGAGCAGCCCCACAGTGGGAGCAGCACACAGCCCTGCCATCAGCCCCAGGACAGAGCTGTGGGGCACCCCGGGCCTCCCCTGCCACCCCTCCCACCCTGGCCCTTACCCCAGGTCATGCTGGTCATCTCCCAAGGCCACTGGCAGCAGCGGGTTGCCCCCAAGCTGGAGCAGCCGTTTGTGCAGCTTCTTTGCAACGAAATTAAACCTGAGCAGAGAATAACACAGGGCAGGGCTTTGCAGCAGCACAGCAAACACTGCCACAGCACCAAAACACACTGCCAGGGCTACCAGAGCAGCACACAGGCAGAGGCAGCACTGTGACCTGGCCCATGCCCTGCCCAGCCTGTCCCCAGCCTGTGCCAGTTCACAGAACCAGCTGGGTGCCACTTGCTGGCCCTCACACCCTGTGCCCAGCCCCGAGATGGGACAAGGGGAGGTCCAGCTTCCCTTCAGGACAGCTTGTGCCCTGAGCCATAGAACATTTCCTTCTCTCCAGCCCCTCACTGCCCCACAGAGCTCAGGCACTCCCAACTAGAGCTGCTGGAGGCACACAGGAACAATCTTCTGGGAGAGACCTGGGACCAACAGGGCTGGTTGCCACCTCTGTTTGATGTCTCCTGTTCCCTTGGCCCATGGCTGTGATTAAAGACTAACACATGATGTCTGACCCACTGCTGCAAAGCATCCTTGGTGAGGTTGAGAGCAGAGAAAAAGGCAGAAGCCTAATTCCTGGGGGTTAGGAGGGACACAGCAAGGCAAGGATTTTTAAGGCTGATGGGAGTTACATTTTGTCTGAGCTGCTGCTCCAGAATCAGACTCTGTCTCCCCCTACCCCCTGCGAGCAGCCACTCTGCTCTCTATTGCAGTCAGAGCTGTGAAGAGCAGCTGCCCAGGAGCTGCAGAGCTGCTTACTTGGGGTAGGAGGAGTCCCCGAGGCCCAACACGGCGTAGTCCAGCTGGCACAGGGAGCCGGCAGGGAGGCTCTTCCGGAACAGGAACCGCCAGAACATCTACGAGGGACACAGGCAGCCAGTGCTGCTGCCATGGCACCTTCCTGCCTGCTTGTCCCTGCATCCCTGCTCATCCTGGATCCCAGCACAGTGCAGAGCACAGCTTTCTGCAGAAGTGCCCCCTGCAACAACCTCAGGAGCCCCCTGCTCATGTTCCCTGGGATGTGACTACTGCTGCTGCAAAGCTCCCCCAGAAAAAATAACCCCTGCTCGAGCTGCTTCAGGAGAGGAAGCTCTGCAGCAGGAACATAAAAGCAACAGGACAGGAGCATGTCCTACCTTCATGTTGTCAGGGGGGTCTCCCTGGCCGGTGGTTGCACACACAAACACCACCAAAGGCTCATGGATGAGGTTGGCCTGTGGGTACAAACGAGCACTGTCAGGTCAGCAGCCTCCAAACTGCTCTGGAGCCAGGCTAGGACTGCTGGGGGTGTTCAGCCTGGGGAAGAGAAGGCTCCAAGGAGACCTCAGAGCCCCTTCCAGTGCCTAAAGGGGCTCCAGGAGAGCTGGAGAGGGACTGGGGACAAGGGATGGAGGGACAGGACAAGGCAGAATGTCCATAAGCTGAAGGAGGGCAGGTTTAGGTCAAATATTGGGAAGAAATTCTTCCCTGTGAGGGTGATGAGGTCCTGGAGCAACGAGCACCAAGCCTGAGTTGAACAGTGTTTGGACAATGCTCTCGGGGACAGGGTGGGGTTGCTGGGGTGTCCTGGGCAGGGCAGGAGTTGACTCGATGATCCTGATGGGTTCCAACCCAGCTTGTTCCATGATTCCAGTGTCCTGTGGGAGGTGTCCCTGCCCCTGGGGATGGAGCAGGAGCAGCCCCCGTGTCCCACTCACCACATCACAGCTGTCCAGGGCCTCCACTCGGCACCGCAAGTGCCGGCGCTTGGCTTCCCTCCCAACCCTCTCCGCCGTGTCCTGGGCTGTCCCAGTCTGGCTGCCGAAGAGCACCAGCAGTCTCCGTTCTGCCATCTGCAAAAAACAGCAGCAGGGAAATCAGCGGGGGCAGGGGAGGGGAGGCAGAGCTGGGGCTGCCCTGGGCCGAGCAGCTCCGAGCCCCAGGGGCTGACACAGCACACAGCCAGCGCAGGGATGGGCAACAGCTGGCACTCACCAGTGGGACTCACGGCTCCCAGAGCTCCCAGGCTCCCCTCCCTGCCCTGTGCAGCACCCAGGGGTGATGCTGTGTCCCAGCCAACAGGATAAACAGGGACACAGGGACACAGGGACTGTGCTTCTTGTCCCCACAAAATCCACATCAGCCCCGATGAACTGCCCTCATCAGCACGGGGTGAGCGCAGGGATCAGCTGTTCCCCAGCTCTGGGTTCTACCCTCCTGTGTGTCCCAGGAATCCCCCCTGAGCTGAGGGGCTGGGGCAGAGCTGGAGGCTCAGGGACAGACAGACAAAGGTGTGAGCACACACGGCCAGGCTCTGACAGAGCAAGGGCCCAGCCTGGAGGGAATGCAGCCCTGGGAGCTGTCTGAGCTGCGAAAAGCTGCCATCACCATGTGCCCATAGAATAATAATAAACTAAATCATAATAATAAAAAATAAAATCGCAGAATCCCAGACTGGTTTGGGCTGCAAAACCCTGAAAGCCCATCCCACCCCAGCCATGGCAGGGACACCTCCCACTGTCCCAGCTGCTCCCAGCCCTGTCCAGCCTGGCCTTGGGCACTGCCAGGGATCCAGGGGCAGCCCCAGCTGCTCTGGGCACCCTGTGCCAGGGCCTGCCCACCCTGCCAGGAACAATTCCTGCCCAATATCCCATCCAGCCCTGCCCTCTGGCACTGGGAGCCATTCCCTGTGTCCTGTCCCTCCATCCCTTGTCCCCAGTCCCTCTGCAGCTCTCCTGGAGCCCCTCTGGGCCCTGCCAGGGGCTCCCCGGGATTCTCTCCCCAGTCCCGGGGCCCGGCCCGGCTCGGGACTCACCATGCACCGGCCCCATCCCGCTGCTGACGTCACCACTGCGCGACAGCTTCCACTGACGTCATCGTCCAGGCTGAGGCTCCGGGACTCTACAGGCACCGCTCCCCCGTCTGATGATGTCATCCGTTCGTCGCCTCTCCCCGTGACGCCATCGCCCCGCGCCGCCAGGCCGGGCCGGGCCTGGGGCCGGTGTCGGTAC